TCGTCAGAGCTATTGATCACTCCGTCGGCTTCCTGTCAGTCTGACATTGGCCCTTCATCACGGGACAAGTTGGAGGGGTCGATGGGTCGCCTACTTGCCAGCAAAGCAATTGTTCTGGCGACAGGCGGTAATTACTAATGGCAGCCAAAACTGGAAGTGCAGCTTCTCGAAATTTCTGACCCCACGTCTCCACACAGATGGAGTTGGCAAGACGAAATGTTACCGCCACCGGCAGTGAAAAGATGTTGACGAAAGAATATTTATGATATTTGTTTTAACATTTATTAACATTAGAAATATTCAGCTCAGCAACTCCTGCTCAAGGGAGTAAACAGGGCATATTCAAAGCCAACACATACAAGAGACTAAGAATCAGATGTAAACACTGACTACTGTTCACTGAGAGGAAGGAAAATAAGACTCACTTCAGTTACCAGGCAAAAGATCACCAATATACCTTTAAAACGACAAGCATTACACATACATACAGCTTCAAAGTTTTATATTTACAATTAAATATGCGGAATAAGATATTTATTCTCCTGTCATAAGAACAACATTTTAACCATTAAATGGCTAAGAGACAGAGATCACCGATATTAATTATAACTATTATGTTAGAAAGTGAATGAGATGTTACCGCTCTCGGATTGATTCACTTTTTTAAGGATATTTATACTTCAGTAAGGAAGCATTAAACTGATCAAAAGTGACAGTGAAGACATTTATAATGTTCCAAAAGCCATTTCAAATAAATGCAAAAAGTTTCCACAAAAATATTAAGCAGCACAACTGTTTTCAACATTGATAATAATCAGAAATGTTTCTTGAGAAGCAAATCAGCGAATTAGAATGATCATGAAGGATTTGAAGGCTGTTCTTTTCAAAATTACAATAATATTTCACAATATTACTATTTTACTGTATCAAATAAATGCAGCCTTGTTTAGCATAAAAATCTTACTGAACTTTTGAATAGTAGAGTACATTTATTTGGGCAAACTTTCAAGATAGTCAATAGCAAGACATGTTTTCTAGTCATAATATTCTTATCCCATAATTCACACTGAAAACTCTCATGCACAACTTTGAGCAAGATATGAATTATTTTAGCGCGGTGTTGAAGATTCATCTGGTCAGTGAGTGAGTGCTGACCTGTAAGGCTCAGTCTCAGGAAAGTGCGCTAACCTCCAGTGAGTGACAGTGAAGTGACTATAATGAGATGCATTCTAGTATCATGTATAATTTATTCAGCATTTGAATAACAGTTTTGTTTTTCATGCTGTTAAGAGTGCCGACGTGACGCTGATTGCTGATGTACAAAACAGCGATGAAGTAATTCAGGAACACAGCTTTCCGCTTCAACAAACGTTACACACTTCTGGGCTGATTATAATTTGCTTTGAATCAAATATTTACATACAAAGTTCTACAGCTTAAAAAAAAAAAAAAGACTGATAAAAGTGAGAAACTGGCACTGGTTTAGTTACTGAACTTTCCGTTTCCGCCCCCCTGAGCGCAGCCTGTTTAAGGTGAGGATGATCGCATCAAGCAAATCTCCAGCAGAAATGATATCATCATCCCCTCGGGTCCAACCCAGAGGATTTTGTGAAGGAATCAAGCCGAGGGAAGTGTCTCCATGGTCATTCCTGAGTACTAAAAGCGGCCATGAACTCTATTGTCAGATCATATTCCACGTTCCTCTGCAGGCCGGAGGCTAGTGTGAACATACAAACTACATGTGCAGTGGACATATCTGCATTTATCTCCTGTTGGGCAATGTCAAATCATGTTCCTGTGGACTGTGTACAGGGTTAAAGGTCACAGGGGGTGACAGATTTTAAGCTCACTCCTGAAATGAAGGCTATTAATAGGCAGCCAAGAGGGGAGTATTTTGTGGTGAGCTCAGTGTTACTTAATTAATATTACATATTTTGATAACATTCTAATAATTGATCACAAATAGACTTTATTATTTAGAAAAGATTACAGTTAAATCACAAATATTATACAGTATGGCAGGGGTGTAACAGTACATGTATTCGTCCAGAACCGTCCCGGTACAGACATAACAGTTTGGTGCGTACAGTCAGACTACGAATAGTCCAGCCCGTTCTCATCCCAAGGCATCATACATGTGACGCTTTTGACATTTCGTCGAAATCTTACGCACATGGCATCCTTTAGCATCAATATGAGACGCAGATCCCAAGGCGTCATACAGGTGACGCTCGTCTAAATCCGACGCACATGGCATCCTTTAGCGTCAATATGAGACGCAGAACCCAAGGCGTCATAAACGTACCCTACCCCAGACCTAAACCTACCCATAACAGTGTGTGTTATATTGACGCTAAAGGATGCCATGTGCGTAAGATTTCGACGAAATGTCATATGGCGTCACCTATATGACGCCAAAGGATGAGAATGTGTTGAATAGTCAGTCAGTCACAGGCGATCCACACTCCAATCCAGAAGGGGGCGAGCGCGGTAATGCAACACTGTTTGCTAACCACTACAACAGGAAAAGAGCAGATGATCTATGGACCATCCCAAAACAAGAGTTCGGTAACACTTTACAATAAGGTTCATTAGTTAACATTACTTAAAGGATTAGTTCACTTTTAAAAAAACTTTTGCTGATAATTTACTCACCCCCATGTCATCCAAGATGTCCATGTCTTTCTTTCTTCAGTCGAAAAGAAATTAAGGTTTTTGATGAAAACATTCCAGGATTTTTCTCCATATAATGCACTTTGCTGGGCACCAAACGGTTCAAGGTCCAAAAGACAGTTTCAGTGCAAACTGCAAACTGTTCAAAGGGCTTTAAACGATTCCAGACGATGAATAAGGGTCTTATCAAGCGAAACGATCGCTCATTTAAAAAATAAATAACAAAGTTTAATAATGTCAAATGCTCACCTTGCTCTGTTCTGTGATGCACGTTCGTGACTCTCCTGTTCGAACTCGTTCATCAAAATGAACAAATCTTTTTTCGAGTCATTTGGTTCATTTAACGAACGAAATGAACGAATTGACTCGGAAAAAGATTTGTTCATTTTGATGAACGAGTTCGAACAGGAGAGTTACACAGAACAGAGAAAGGCGAGCATGTGAGCTTATAAAACTTAAACTTTGTTATTTATTTTTTAAATGAGCGATCGTTTCGCTTGATAAGACCCTTATTCATCGTCTGGTGTCGTTTAAAGCCATTTGAACAGTTTGCAGTTTGCACTGAAACTGTCTTTTGGACCTTGAACCGTTTGGTGCCCAGCAAAGTGCATTATATGGAGAAAAATCCTGGAATGTTTTCATCAAAAACCTTAATTTCTTTTCGACTGAAGTAAGAAAGACATGGACATCTTGGATGACATGGGGGTGAGTAAATTATCAGCAAAAGTTTTTTTAAAAGTGAACTAATCCTTTAATGTATTAACTAACATGAACTAGCAATGAACAATACATTTGTATACTGTATTTATTAATCTTTGTTAACGATAGTTAATAAAAATACAGCTGTTCATTGTTTGTTCATGTCAGTTCACAGTGCATTAACTCATGTTAACAAGATTTTAATAAAGTATTAGAAAATGTTAAAATTAACATTAACCAAGATTAATAAATGCCGTATAAGTGCAGTTCATTGTTAGTTCATGTTAACTAATGTAGTTAACTAATGTTCACTAACGAACCTTATTGTAAAGTGTTACCAAGAGTTCAGATGGCACGCAAGAGATTGCTAGTAGCCTACATACGCTGAGTTCAGATTCATTTTTGTGACGCACTCCACAAATTTCACGGAAAGGAAACTGGGAAGGCAGAAAGCGTCATTCTTTTACAAATGCACAATGTATTTGTTTTATTATACACTTTATAGTTTCGTATGATGTATTACTCTTATCTGTATTACCACAAAGTACAGAGTATTTTAAGTTGTTTCCACTGTTATAATGAGACAAAATCATTTGGCATTGTGCCGATTTGTCGTAAGTCTCGCGTGTCCTGGAAATGAGAAGTGTCAGGTGCCGCTTCACTCGCTGTCTCTTCGTGGAAAAGTGAAGCAGGCTCAGATGTAGATGGCACCTTTTCTCCTTCTCGCTCATCAAAAAGCGTAATATTGAACTTAGTGCATCCCCCATGGTCACCGCATGTTAATAAAACCTTTTTATTTTCCTTCAGTACTACGTCTGGGTTTGCTGTATATTCTTGGGTTTTCTCCGATAAATTTTTCACCGGTCCAATCAGCGAACAGAGGGAGTGGCTGAGAACGATGACGTTGAGGTGCGCTAGTTTGAGTTGTAGACATATGTCACGACCAAAAAATAGCGATTAGTTATGTCTGATCCAGAGTGAGACTGTTGAAGTTTAAAACTATTGGATCTAGAGTACCCGCCTTCAAGGAAGTTAACGCTTGTCAATGGAGCGAGACCAGACTCTCTGTACAAATGAAATGTACGAGAGTCTGGTGGGACCAGGCTACCGTTACACCCCTATTATAGGGGTTTATAAAATGTTTATACAAATATTAAAAAATATTACTCCATTTTTGGAATTAATTGTAAAATGCAGTCTCTTGTGAAGTTTCATTTCAGTCAGGATGCTATCTTCCATGACAGCTGCCTATGTAGACGTAAAACCGCAGCACTCACTAGAGCTATACGCCACACGTATCAGCACATTTGACCTCCTGTTATCACACAAACACAGCATCAAAAGCAGCACAATGTTGTGCGTTGACATTTCTGCAGCGTCTCCGTACAGAAATTTCAAGGCCGTTTTGTTCTCTCATTTCTGATTACACTCACAAACACAGTCGGCGTCCTGCGTGTCCTCTGCAGAACGCCGGGTGTGAAGAATGCTAACATCTCTTTCCCACTGCGTGTATTGACCGTGAGCTGATAATGAGGAACGACAGAGTGAACGAGGGAGCAGTGAACGGGTAGGCGGAGCGGCCAAACAGCCTGTGTAATGACTCGTCCTCTCTCTTTATCTCCTCACAGGCTCTCCTATCGGACCGGACAGGACACGGCCAACTGCGACACGTGTCGGAACAGCGCATGCATTATTTACAGGTTGGTTGCTGCATTTTGTTTTAAGCCAGAGCAAGTGAGCATGCTGAGCTTACAAAGATCAACTTCAGCCTAATCACAGCTTGTGTGAGTAATGAGCGAGATAAAGGAGAGGAAATACTCTCGCTGACAGGAATAGATTAAGGACCTTAGTGGGACACCCTCATCACAGAGCACGGGACAACTTTCTATGGATTTAAAGGAATATCTCATTCGAATATTAAGTCATTTTTACTTGAGGCCATGTCCAATCACATCTGCATGATGTTGTGTTTTCTGTGGAATCTGTATGCAGCTCTTTTGCATTTAACAACAGTTCATAAACATTTAAGAAGGACAAGAAAACATCCTTAAAGTACCATAAAAGTGTCCATTAGACTTGTGCAATAAATTCAGTCTTTAAAAAAAAGCAATATGCAAATCTTTATTCACAGACTTTCTTCCCCTCCGCTGTAGCTTAGAGGCTAGAATATTTTTTTTTAAAAATGTATTTGTTGTCTGGTTATTGCACAACAAATATACTTGAAAAGCAGCACTGCAGTGCACAAGGTATTACAACTTTATTTCACTTATTTTAAGTAAACAACTTAAAACAAGAGAATCTGTCATCTACACAAGATAAAATCAACATGAAAAAATATATTATATATATATATATATATATATATATATATAAGGTAATATCTAAAATAATATTAGTTGTGGTCCTCAAGTAATTCTATTCTGCTTTAAGTATTTTTAGATACTTAAATACTAATATTTTTAGATACAGTGATCATATCTGCAGTGTATGAACAATCATTGCATGGAGAAAAAATTGCATAAAGTTTATTCATCAGTAAAAACAACATTATATAGGTTCGGAACGGCATGAGAGAGTCAATAATGGCAACTTTAATCACAGTTGACTTCAGGTGGTCGGTCTACAGCGGCTGAGAATCGGTGTCTGTACTGCAGCACTTAAAGGTATAGATGGAGTTCTTATTCAATAGACAGGACAAACACAAACAATATGACAAAACGCCATCCTATCATTTCAAAGCAGCCGAGTGAACTTAAGTGAGACGCACTCATTCTGCAGGAGGAGCCGGAGCAGAAAAGTGTGTCTGAGTGTGTAAAGGTCAGACTGTTAAGCGCTTCTCAGAGTGTTTTTGTCTCCAGTGGGCGGATGGCCATCTTAAAGTGCAATGAGAGCTGAAGAGCGTGTACATGGGATTCTGGGTAATTGACAGGTAGTAATCGCCAGAGAGCTTGTTTTGCAGAATGCAAGATAACTTACAGAAAGAGTTTCACAAGACTTGAAAGCACATGAGTCACACCAATGACTTCTATATCGCATGTTGTGCTTTTTTTGGAAGAACTAGCCATTTAACAAGCATGCAAACCTGAAAAAAAGATAAATATCCTGCCTAGTTCATTCTGATGTAGCATAAACATAAGAAAATGGCGCTGAGAAGCGTCTCAGAGGACAGCTAAGCAGTGCTGTAGATAGACATCGGCTCTCCTGTGAGAAGATGTGGCTCCCTGCAGAAGACCAGCGACAGACACTATCTAATTTAGCAGCTCTCTTTGAAGCGAAGGCAAGGATTAAACACAATCTAATTACACGCAGCCCAGTCAAAACACTCGACAGGAGAGAGAACCAATCTCTCTGGATGAGCCGAGTGGCAGAAGGAAGTCCTGAAGCAACATGCTCAACAGATCATTGTATTAGCTACCTATCCCATTCATGGCACTGGTTTGATCCGTTTGGAAAGTCCATGCCAGTGCTGCTGTTTATTCGTTAGTTAATAGATTTAATGAAATACAGCACTCTTGTATATGGGGAATATTTTATGCAAGGCAAATATATACATTTATAAATATATTCATAGTAATTTGTTTTATTTTAATGTAGCAATTACATAATTTTGGTCACACTTTAGATTAGGGTCCAATTCTCACCATTAACTAACTATTAACTAAGACTTTTGCTTCAAACTACTAATTACTACTAACTACAACTTATTAATAGTTAGTAAGGTAGTTGTTAAGGTTAGGTATTGGGTAAGATAAAGGGATGTAGAATATGGGCGTGAAGAATAAAGCATTAATATGTGCTTTAAAAGTATTACTACACAGCCAATATTCCAGTAATATGCATGCTTATAAGCAACTAGTTTATTGAGAATTGGACCCTAAACTAAAATGTTACCGTATTTTTTAAGTTAAATTATATTGATATACCATAAAAAAATATAATATTTATATATTATTAAAATATAATTAAATACTGAATTATATAAATATAAATGTATCCATAATAATTTGATTTATTGTAGGTAACAATTACAATAGACTATATGAATACGCAATACATATAATATTAATATATAATAAAACGGTATCTGCATCTTGTGTGTTGTGTGCACGAGTTTAAAAATATGACTTGGCGTAGGCCTACTCTTGTTTACACCGATGGCATACAGAATGGCTTCACATCCACATAAATCATGCTAATAGAGTTGGGTCTGAAGGAGCTAAAGTGTTCTACTTAGCATAATATGGTAGGGAGGAGAAATCTCATGACGCAAAGTGCAAGAGCTCAGATCACTGGTCTTCAGTCTCAGCAGCGGCTCTGAATGAATCCATGTTCGTCGTTCACATCAGGCTGTGTTCCAAACCCTAGTGAGCGGCCTACTCGGAGATTTAAGGCAACACAAGTGAGCATGCAACATGAATGATTCACTTGTTTTGGACAAATTCCAGCCATTGGCACAAGGCAGCGTTGTTAGTGTTAACTAAAACTAAAAATATTAAAATCGTTTTCTGTAATTGAAATAAAGCTGAAATTAAATACAATATAAATAATATTAGATAAAAAGCTTAAACTAAAAAGCTTAACAGAAGAATTAAAAAAGGTTGCATTGGCGTTAAACAAGTTTAAACTGAAGTACAAAAATGACAAAAAATGTATTATAATAATGTAAAGCATAATAGAAATTTATAAAAAAAAGAAAAAGACAAAAAAAAAAAAAAAAAAAATTGCTAAAATGTAAACTAAAATTAAAATGAAAAAATAAAAGATAATTCCAAATATTAATAAATAGTATGATAGAATAAAAATTTTACATGGATACTGGCAAGACAGGAATGTGTGTACCAAAAAAAAAATCATCCAAGAAGGTGGACGAATAGAGATTTGCTCATTATTAATATTCTGATACTAGAGATACTTGAATATCTCTATTTTTGTGCAGCAAAGCATCAAAGAATTAGAACAGCAACAAGTTTGTCAAACTCTATTGTAATCGTTTGCAAATCAAGTCTGTCAAGCAGTATTTGTGCAGCGTACAGAGACGCAGATGTGTAGAGCGTTCAAATCAGCCATGAAAAACACAGACTTGCTTTTCTTGCATTTTCTGTGCTGATTCCATCAGAGTGGGTTCAGATATGGCCAGATGATTTAAACAGATGCATGTTGTTGCTCATGAGGGTTTATTTCAGCTACAATGCCGGTACCCACTTATGCATACAGCAGACAAGACGGCTCGCTGGATTTAGGAGCCGAGCCACTGATTCAAGCTTCAGTTTCGCAGGTTAACCTTCTGCATCCCATCATTTCCTGCATCATTATCCCTCCATCACTCCGTATTACTCCTCTGTCTGGCATTCACTATCTCTGAAGGATCTTCCCATGGCTGACATTCTTAAAGGAATGTTCTGGGATCGATACAAGTTAAGCTCGATCGACAGCATGTGTGTCACAAGATCGATTGCCATATAACTTTGACTCGTCACTGACTGCAAAAAACACACTTGCATTGACACGCTGCAAGCATCGGACGAGTTTAAAGGCTGAAATATGAAGCTTACGTTTTTGTTAAAGCACATCTTCTGAAAGAAATGCATATTATTTGAGTTATAGAGATGTTTAGATCATGCCTTACTGTACCTGTACATTTTGGGAAGGGTGCACGATTTTCCGTGGAAATCTGTTGAACCTTGAACATTGCTTTAAATGTTATTCCTATGAAAAATACTCTCAAACAATTTCAATTAATTTCATATCTTTCCCTCCCTGGGGTGATCGCTAAACTCAGAAGAGGGAAGAGATCGTGCTCCCATAAAAGCGGATATAGGAGCATTCAATTTATTTGAAGTCGAGCTGCTCCGAGCTAAAACTCTTCTTCTGCGTTTTGTTCTCCTGGTAACCATGTCATCACGTTTCATCACACTAGACTGCATTTCCTAATGTGGCTGTCCGGATGGGATTCAGATCTCACAGTCTATTTGGTGGGAAATAACTGCTTAATAGTCAGGGCTTAAAGCGATCGCAAAACACAAATCCTGATCTAACTGTTGGAGACCACAAATTCTGCCAGCCCTAATATTGTTGAGGCAAGCATCATTGTTATTGCTGAAACTCAGGGTTTATGTATTAAGCATCAGTGCATAACGCGTTCCTCCGTTTGTGATATAGACATAAACAATTACTGAACTTGTGTGGACTTGTTTCACCTTGATATGATTGTTCAGTCTCTTCTTTAATGAAACCATTTTGATTCAGTAAACTATACTCCCAGGGGGAAAAAATGCTAAAATTGTACCCTCAAAGCAAAAATTTCAACGTTCAACGTCAAGTCAAGTCAAGTCATGTATAGTGAATTATACAACAGAAACTCTAGCAAAGCAGCTTCACAGTATTAAGAGGAAAGTAACAGAATCAATGATGTAAACATCGAATATAAACATCAGCACCCCCCCTCCCCTCCTTCCTCATCTTCAAAAAGCTGACATTGTGTGACTCAACACCTGTAAAATGATCAGACCGACACCTGTGTTCTCACTGATCTCTCACGATCTGTTCAGAGCTCTTCTGACCAGCCACACACACACACACACACACACACACACAAACACACACAAACACGACGCCGGCGTGGAAATACCATTAGAGCCGAGCTGAAGGGAGTGGAGATGATTACATTACAGAGATGTTTAAACGCTCAGCGCTGAGACAC